ATTCTCTCATGAGTGTTTTGTAGTTTTCAGGGTATAGGTCTTTCACCTCCTTGATTAGGTTTATTCCTAGGTATTTTATTCTTTTTGATGTAATTGTAAATGGAGTTGTTTTCCTGATTTCTCTTTCTGTTAGTTCATCATTAGTATATAGGAATGCAACAGATTTCTGTGTATTAATTTTGTATACTGCAATTTTGTTCAATTCAGTTATTAGTTCTAGTAGTTTTGGGGTGGATTCTTTAGGGTTTTTTATGTACAACATCATGTCATTGGCAAACAGTGACAGCCTAACTTCTTTACCAATCTGGATGCTTTTTGTTTATTTTCTGATTGCCATCGTAGGACCTCCAGTACTATGTTGAATAAAAGTGGTGAGAGTGGGCATCCTTGTCTTGTTCCCGATGGTAGAGGAAAAGCTTTTAGCTTTTTGCTGTTAAGTATGATGTCAGCTGTGGGTTTGTCATATATTGCCTTTATTATGTTGAGGTACTTGCCCTCTATATCCATTATGTTGAGAGTTTTTATCACGAATGCATGTTGAATTTTGTCAAATGCTTTTTCATAATCTGTGGAGATAATCATGTGATTTTTGTCCAGTATATGATGTTGATGGGTTTTCTAATATTGCTCCATCCTTGCATCCCTGGAATAAATCCCCCTTGATCATGATGCATGATATTTTTGATGTATTTTTGAATTCAATTCGCTAATATTTTACTGAGTATTTTTGCATATATGCTCATCAGGGATATTGGTCTGTAATTTTCTTTTTTTGTGGTGTCTTTGTCTGGTTTTGGTATTAGAGTGATGCTGGCCTTATAAATGAGTTTGGAAGAATATTCCCTCCTCTTCTCCTTTTTGGAATACTTTAAGGAGGATGGGTATTAGGTCTTCACTAAAGGTCTGATAAAATTCAGCAGTGAAGCCATCACATCCAGGAGATTTTGTTCTTAGTTTTTTGATTACCAATTCAATTTTATTGCCGGTAATTGAACTGTTCAGATTTTCTGTTTCTTCCTGGGTCATTCTTGGAAATTGTATTTTTCTAGAAAGTTATCCATTTCATCTAGTTTATCCAATTTGTTAGCATGTAATTTTTCACAGTATTCTCGAATAATTCTTTGTATTTCTGTGGTGTCTAGTGTTTTTCCTTTCTCATTTCTGAATCTGTTTATGTGTGTACTTTTTTTTCTTGATAAATCTGGCTAGGGGTTTATCTATTTTGTTTGTTTTCTTGAAGAACCAGCTCCTGGTTTCATTGATTCTTTCTATTGTTTTATTGTTCTCAATTTTATTTATTTCTGCTCTGATCATTATTATGTCCTTCTTTCTACTGATGTTGGACCTCATTTGTTCTTCTTTTTCTAGTTCCATTGTGAATTTAGACTATTCATTTGAATTGTTCTTTTTTGAGGTAAGCCTGTATTGCTATATACTTTCCTATATACTTTCGCTGCATCCCACAGGTTTTGGGGTGTTGAGTTGTTGTTTAATTTTTCTCCATATATTGCTTGATCTCTGTTTTTATTTGGTCATTGATCCATTGATTATTTAGAAGCATGCTGTTAAGTCTCCATGTGTTTGTGGGCTTTTTTGTTTCCTTTGCATAATTTATTTCCAGTTTCATTCCTCTGTGGTCTGAGAAGCTGGTTGGTACAATTTCAATCCTTCTGAATTTACTGAGGCTCTTTTCATGTCCTAGTATGTAATCTATTGTGGAAAATGTTTCATGTGCCCTTGAGAAGAATGTGTATCCTGCTGCTTTTGGGTGTAGAGTTCTATAGATGTCTATTAGGTCCATCTGCTGTAATGGGTTGTTCAGTGCCTCTGTCTCCTTACTTATTTTCTGTCTGGTTGATCTGTCCTTGGAATGAGTGGTGTGTTGAAGTCTCCTAAAATGAATGCATTGCATTCTCTTTCTCCCTTTAATTGTGTTAGTATTTGTTTCACATATGTAGGTGCTCCTATGTTGGGTGCATAGATATTTATAATGGCTATATCCTCTTGTTGGACTAACCCCTTTATCATTATGTAATGCTCTTCTTTGTCTCTTGTTACTTTCTTTGTTTTGAGGTCTGTTTTGTCTGATACAAGTATTGCAACTCCTGCTTTTTTCTCCCTATTAGTTGCACAAGATATCTTTTTCCATCCCTTCACTTTTAGTCTGTGTATGTCTTTGGATTTGAAGTGAGTTTCTTGTTGTCAACATATAGATGGGTCTTGTTTTTTATCCATTGTGTAACTCTATGTCTTTGAATTGATGAATTCAGTCTCTTTACATTTAGGGTGATTATCAATAGATATGTACTTATTGCCTTGGTAGGCTTTAGATTAGTGGTTACCAAAGGTTCAAGGGAAGCTTCCTTGCTATCTAACAGTCTCTCTTAACACAGTTATTATGCTATTTCAGATGCACTCTAAAGGTTCTTTTTTTCCTTCTTCCTCCTCTACTCTTTATATATTAGGTATCATATTCTGTATTGTTTGTGTATCCTTTGACTAACTTTGTGAATAGTTTATGTAATTTTGTATTTGCTTAGTAATTAATTGGTGTACTTCCTTTACTGTGGTTTTATTTTCTCTGGTGTGACAGCTATTTAGAGGTTGTCTCCTAGAAATTTATACAAAAATACTTACCAATGAAATGTGGGAAATGCTGTTACAAAAATATAATGCATAATTAATTAATTGTCCTCAGATTTAATTTAAACTTCTTGTCTGAGTGGAATCACAAAGCTTATCAATTGCATAAATTAACATTGTGGTGATAATACTGTAAAACAGTGTATGTTCATAATAGAACTCTGTCTAAATCTACCAGTTATAAATGTATGCTCCTCAGTGGTTCAATTTATCAAAATATGTGGATGAAAAAAATTTTAAATCCAACTTAAAAAAAAAACACTCAATGTAGAAAAATACAAGGATAAAATTGCAAGAAGCACTCAAAATCAGTCTATCCAGAAATAACACCAGGTGAACAGCATGTCCAGCTATCTCCCTATATATATTTATATGGGTAGACAGGTAGCAATGCTTTTATAAAAATAATATGGTGCTCTACATTCAATGCATGGTGTAACTCTTGGTGGAAAATATGTTCTCAGCCCGGGCAAATTATTTTTGAAACTGAAATCTGTCAAAGGGAGAAATAAAGTGGGAGAAACCCACTTATTGCTTATAAACAGTCATCCACTTCTGCTTGCCCGTGTCTCTTGCAATCTGGCTGCAAAAAGAGATCCTACCCAACCTCTCCTGTCTAGATATGCCCTCACTACCCCTTGTAATTACCTGTTGATGAGGAGATAACTACCTTTGTCCACCCCTTGGAAACATCTATTGATATGGAGGTGCACTAAGACCAGGAGAGATTCTGGAAATATTGCAGTTTTACCCACAGATGGCCTCTGTGCCCATTCCTTGTCCTTCCTCTGCTCTATCAGCACTGCAGGGGTTTGATCCCAGTTGGCTGCATTCCCCTGGCTCCCAATTCAGCAAACATCTGGCTGGGGTCGATTAATGGGAGATTGGAGGTATGAGAAAGGGAGGCCAAGAATACATTCTTCACAGTTGTGTTTTTTCTGATCCAGTGTGTTTCAAATTAACACTATTTTCTGTTTGTCCCTTTAGCCTAAGTGTTAAGTGGCTTCTGAGTCATACTAATCACTGGGTCATCTCATTGTCACATTTAGTTTCTTAGCTCTTCCATTACCTGTATAACCAATTCCCTGCATTAAATTCCCTCACTGAAAATACTCAAGGTAGTTTCTGGTTAGACCCTGACTGCTCTATGATAGATGTTATCTTTAATTGAAATATTCTAATTTTATTAATTTTACTTGAATTTGATACATCAAAAGAACATGAAGTAGAAAAAATTTTAGTGTGAGAAGTACTGCTTTCTAAAAGTTCTTTTCAGGTTAAGAAACTGTGAAAACCTCAGAAGCTGGAGTTGTTATGCTTAGTATTTTTAACTAGTTTTCCGTTTTAGACAGTAAAGGTGCAACAGGGACCATGGGCTTAGACAGAATAGGGTGGGGGCCTCTGGAAAAAGCAGGGCAGGATATTTACAGTCAGAGCAATGTAACTACATGCAAGGAAACCCCCTACCAAAACTCTGTGTTGAACATTAAGCTCTAGAGTCATTCTTCAGTGAGATCAGTTAATATTCCCCAGATAAAGAAGAGTAGCACGTTTTTATTATGCTGATCATTTGTAATCATGTGTAAGATTCACCTTAGCATGCTAAAGGCCCAGGCCTATGTGCTGTCTTTCCTCCTTCAGATCTGACGAAGTGATTTTGCAAACTGGGCAACTAATTTAGCATGCAGGCCCAGCCATAAATAACACAGTAAAAGGCAGGAAGGATTCCACCTTAAAGATAAGATTGCATTTTAACACCCAGGAAGTTTAAGAAGTAAGATTCTTAACTTACTCTTTAGCAAACAGACAATAATTCAGCCCACCTTGCGAGCTGGGCAGGCGGTCTTTTGATATGCTGCCAGACCAAGACGCTGGTATCCCAGAGAAAAATCAAGGCAGGAAATTCCTTATGTTAAGTTAATTCTAAACATTCAGGGGTGACTTAACAAGTCCACACCCCTAAGCATTTTTTCATGTTCCCAAATATCCTCAACTGCCTATAAAACCTCTAGACAAAGGACCACTATGGGCTCTCTCGTCCCCTCCTGGTGTGAGCAAGGAGCTCTGTCCTCTCACTGTATCTCTCAAAAGTCTCCCTGGCTCTCTCGCCTTGACTGTTTGCTAAGTTCATTCGTTGACTCCACAAACAAGAACCCTGGCATCAAAGGTAGACGATACATGAAAAATTAGTATTCCCAGGCTTTCTTTCACCTCTGCACAATTTTTCAGTTACATTTATTTTGTTCAGGTTTATAATATTTACATTCTGTAACTTTAAGTCTGGAGAGAGGAAATCCCAGGGCAAAATACCTCTAAAAACTGAAATCAGTCAAAGGGAGAAATTAAGTTTAAAATCCGTTTATTACTTACAAAGTGCAGTCTGGGGCCCTTTCTCTCTTTCCTGCTCCAGCAAAAGCAAAACCCAACCCTCCTCTCTCCTCTGAGGTACAGATAAGCCCTCCTTGCCCAGGTAATTACCCACTGATATGGAGATGAACTTCTCTCCACCCCTGAGGAAGGATGCAAATGCACTAAAGTATGCAAATGCACATTTCTTTCCACCTCTATACACCTTTTGATATGCAGATATTCTAAAGGCAGGCGAGATATTCTGGAAATGTTACAATTTCACCCACAAACCATAATTTCCACAGCTGCTTGGTATTAGTAAGGTAACCTATTTAAACCAGCTATATTTCACTGAATGTAAGTTCCACACAGGAAATAACAGGTGGGATATTTGCTTTGCTCACTGGTATATTCAAAGTGAGAAGAGTGTCTTGTGCTAATAAATACTTGTGGAATAAGTTATTTACCACTGTTACTCAGTTTCTTAGTTTTATATTTTAATTCCTTTCCTAACTGACTGGCTCCCATTGTTGTATATGTATAAATGAACACACACACATAGAGCTTTGTTTTCCATCAAGAAAAGTTCAGCCACACAGGGCTGCTTGAGTCCCATCACGTCTGAAGACATGGGCCACTGTATTCAAATGCACTGTGAATATCGGTGAAATAAACTCACAGATTCTGTACAATCCTAGTAGTCAGTGCACTCCTATCATCATTATTTTTTATTATAAGCTTTTATCCAGTTGTTGGCATATCCATATACAAAAGCTAAAAAGATTTTTTTTTTGACAGGGACATACTACCTTTGATGATATTCTTCAGTAAGTCAACAAGTATTTTGTGAGAACTCTCTGCTAAATTCTACGTACTATATAAATATGGATGACAATGGAGCCTGTCCTCAAGGAGCTTGTCTGAAAGGGTAGAGAAAATAAGCATGTTGCTACAATATGAAGTAGAGTAATATTTTAAGAGAAATGCAATACCTGTGTGTTCTGAAAGGCCAGTAATTACTGAGATTACTTTTATTGAAGGCTGGTTATTTGGCAAGCAATAAAAAACCTTGACAGAAGTTATCACCTTTGATCTTCAGGACAACTGTGCAAGGGAAGTTATCATTATCCCCATTTTACTGGTACAGACATTGCATTTAATTGCCCAATATCACACAGGAAGAGTTGACATTTGAACCCTGACTTCAAAGCTCATATCCTTTCTCTACTAACAAGTCTTTCCTGTTGCAAGAATGAGTCTGAGTAGGCTTGATGGAGAAAGTGGCACATGAGCAGGTGCCTTGATGTGTAGGTAGATTTTATGGGTAGGAGTAAGAACTGCGAATCCATCCGTGCAAATCCAAGTATTTTCCACAACTGAGGGCTTGGGTGAGTGTTAAATCTGCCAAGAAACTGTTTTGTTCATTTGGAGACCCAGTTTGAAGGAGACAGCTATTACCAGTCACAGGAAAGAAACTCCAAGTAGCCTTGTTCTTGCATTTCCAGGCATTCTTTGGTCTTGAATAGCTTTTTCCCCATCACCCCTTTGCATGGCCACACAATGATTTATCCTTCTTCTCAGACATTTTTAGAATAGTACACACTCTTCAAAACACCATAGGAGATAAAAAGCAGTAGTTTCAGACTTAAATTCCAAGCCATTAGTGCACTTTGGCATTTGTTGAGTCATAACCAGCATTTTTTTTTTTTTTTTGCAGGGACAGAACTGAATACAAACAGCAGAGAGCATTGCAAATAGGGTAAGTATAGTTTCATGGCACTTATATGTATGTGTATGTGTGCGTTTGTTTATGTACTCGGTTATGATGTAAAATATATTTCTGATAGTGACAGACACTTATTTGAATATTAACAGGGCCTATTTACAAACCAAGTATACCAAAGGAAGTCTGAAAGCCCCTTCCAACTGGTATGGACAGGCAACTTGGGTTAGGCTTGGGGAGCCCCTGGACAAAAGCTTTCTCAAGTTTAGGAAACAGTATCACAGAGTGCTTGCTTACAAACATAGCATAAACTAGAAAGCAGTTTAATACCTTAAGCATTCTTTCAGGAGTGAACTCACTGAACAGAAATGTATAGAGAAAAAACAAGGCAATTATCTCTTTGAAGAGGAGTTGTAGGGAGGAGCTGGCCTATCCAGCTCAAAGGATACTCAAAATTTTCCTTCTCAGAAGGAAGGCTACAGAACCTCTATGGATCAAAGCACTCCCATCTCAGCAGTATGCATGCATATTGTTAGGTCGCAAAGGATGAGAATGGGGAAATGCCTTCAATCAGCAATGCTCGTCCTTGTAGTCTTGATTTTTCTTATTCCTTGAATGTCTCTTACCCAGTTTTGATGGTTTGGAAAGCTGGCTGCCATACTTGGGAAGGCTTGGCTGTGGTTAGTATGTTAGGGCTCAATTTCAAGAGCTGGTAGACAAGAGAAAGCTGGGACTGTTTGGGGCTGGAGTTACTCCTGCTACCCCAGGTTGATGGCAGACCCCTCAACTAACTCTAATATACAGAAGTCAGAGTCTTGACTAAATATCAGGCTTGCTTTGGGTGCACATCAGTACGCAAGTAGGTCCAAAGCGGCCCTACTGACCCTATCTTCAAAACCTATTTCCAATCCATTTTTATAGGTCCTAATGAAATTGTAGCTAACATTTAATACTCATTTAATAATGCACAGCTGCTGTATGGTTCTCATTTAATCCTGTCACCTCAAGAAGCAATGTATAGAATGATCCTGGTAGTAACAGCTACCATTAGTGAGGGTTTACTGTGCGCCAGAGGGTGTTAAGTACTTTAGACAGACACCTAAGTCACAACAATCCTAAAAATACGTACTATCTCACAGCTGGTAAATGGTAGTGCTGGGCTTGGAACCCATAGCCTTCAACTCCCAAGTCCATATATCTAATCACTATAGTCCATTGCCTTTCCTTTCCATTTCTATTTATCAAACTTGTTAATGTATGGTGGACACTAACCTCACCAATTCTTTTCTTATTAACAGTTCATTCATACTTACTGGCATTTTGGACATCATAGGGGTCTCTAGCTTCTTGGTGAATTGTTCTTATGCTTAACAATGATTCACTTTTTTCCCCCTCTGTTTAAGTTTTGCTCATTGTTTTTTTAATGTATCTTGCTGAACTGTGTTGTTTATATAGAATGTTACGCTGTTTTGTTTATGTGATGCTTTCTTAAATGTTACTCTGAAATCTTACTCTCCAAGGTTCTCTACAGTATCTTTTATTTCTTAGTACTCCCAAACATGGATCAACAGTACAAGTCAAGCTGATTACTGTCCTCCACAGAAGCTCTAACAATTCTTACATGCGCACAGCTGTGCTCTTTCCTGTTTGATATGCCTCTTTCATTGCTCTCTTCCTCTCCAAATCCTGTGTGTTCATCAAGAATCAACTTAAACGCCTCCATGAAGTCTACCTTACTACCCTCAATTCTACTGCTCATTTTATCTGAATGTAGGTAGCACTGCAATCCCTCAAAACACTTAAGAATTTAAATATATGTGTTTAATTATTTCTATAAATGCTATCCTGCATGGTCCTTGAGGTAGGGACTATTATTTATACAGTTCTTGCCTTCTGCAGGCTCAGGCTAAGCAGTGTGATACAATTGAAAGAACATTAAGGAGATGAAGGTTATATTGTCCGGACCTGGTACTAAGGAGTCTCAAGCTCTTGGGAGGAACAAGCACCCTGATACCCATTCTGTTTTCCTTGTAGCATTACCAGTGATATTTAAATGGCAGGCTTTCAAAACATCTTGCAGACCATTAGCTTGTAATTCACAGGCTAGTAGATGGTGTGTCAGTGAGACGAAAATACACACCTCAGTGTTTCAGATTATCCATTATGATGATGTTTTTTATAAACCTAGGACAGTATCATGCTATCAAATAAATATGAATGTCAGCTTTCAATAAAGAAATTGTGACTGATTACAGCACATAGGTCACCAAAAATGAAAACAGGGGCAGTAGTAAAATATGTCTATGTGCAGTTTCACTTATCCATGTATATAAAGAGATTATTTTGTCACACTTCTGAAGTGAGGCAACTAAAGTTAAGGGAGAAATGAATAGAGCACAGCTGGTAAAGCAATGCATGGAAGCAACAGATATCAAAGTCAAATAATTCAGCAAGTGTTTATCTAACATTTTTTCAATAGAAAACCTAAAATATGTGTGTTTTCCCTTGGCAAATTTGAACATGATGCACCATAAAATTCTGACAAAACTTGACTTACAGATTAAGTTATATAAAATAGTTTGAAGCCTCTTTTAAATTCTAATTCTTTAAATATTAGCATCAGCAGACACTAACAGTATTATTTTAAAACATCTTAAATTCAAATAGTTTATATACAGTATTTGTTTCAGAGAAACAACTTAGTGATCCATCAGTTATATACATCATTAAATGCTGTGGTTCCAAGTCTAGTTACCATTTGTCACCAAATATTTTACAATACCATGAGTACTGTACTTCCATCCCTCTGACTAGATTACTTTATAATTTGAAGATTTTACCTCTTTATCCCCTTCACCTATTTCACTGTCCCCTGCCATAGTAACCATCTGTTCTTTGTGTTTGACTTTGTTTTTCAGGTTCCACATACAGGTGAAGCCATTTGGTATTCCTCTTTCTGACTTATTTCATGTAGCATAATACCCTCTAGATCCATCCATGTTGTTGCAAATAGCCAAGATTTCTTTTCTATGGCTGTATAACATTCCATTAAATGTATGTACCACATCTTCTTTATCCATTCACCTATTGATGGACACTCAGGTTGCTTCCCTATTTTGACTATTGTAAATAATGAGGCAATAAACATAGGGGTGCATGTAACTTTCAATTAATGTTTCATTTTCTTCAGGTAGATTCCCAGGAGTGGAATTGCTGGGTCCTATGGTATTCCTATTTTTGGTTTACTGAGAAACCTCTATATTGCTTTCCATAGTGGCTGCACCAATTTGCAATCCCACCAACAGTGTATGAGGCTTCCCTCTTTCCCATATCCTCACCAACACTTATTTCTTGTTTATACTAGCCATTCTGTTTGGCATGGTGATATCTCATTGCAGTTTTGATTTGCATTTCCCTGCTGATTAGTGATGTTGAGCATCTTTTCATGTGTCTTGTTGGCCATCTGTATGTTTCCTTTGGAAAAATGTCTACCAGGTCCACTGCCATGTTTTAATCAGATTATTTGCTTTTTTGGTGTTGAGTTGTATGAGGTCTTTATGTATTTTGGAGCTCAGCCCCTTATCAGATATATTGTTTGCAGTATCATTATTCTTAATCTGGATTTGCATAATACAAAGTATGATTCCGGGGTTCTTGTTTGAGGAGTCAAAGAATGAACTTAGCAAACACTCAAGGTAGGAGAGCCAGGGAGAAGTTTTTACTTAAAAATAAAGTAAGAGGACAGAGCTCCAAGAGAGCCTAGGGTGGTGTGTTGTCTAAGGGATTAATAGGCAGTTGAGGATTTTGGGGAACATGATAAGGGCTTAGGGGTGTGGACTTGTTAAGTGGTTCCTGAATATTTAAAATTAATTTAACAGAAGAAATTTACTGCTCTGATTTCTCTCTGAGATACCATCATCGGCATCTTGGTCTGGGAGCATATCAAACAAGACTGCCTGCCCAGCCCCCAAGGTGGGCTGAGCTATTGTCTGTTTGCTAAAGAGTAAGTTAAGAATGCTACTTCTTAACTTCCTGGGTGTTAAAATGCAATCTTATTTTTAAGATGGAATTCTTTTACTATGTTGTTTAAGGCTGTCATTATTAATTGCCCAGATTGCAAATCACCTCATCAGGTCTGAAGGAGGAAAGACAGCATATAGGCCTGGGCCTTTTAGCATTTTAAAGTGAATCTTACATGTGATTACAAAAGTAGCATAATAAAAACATGCTACTTTTATCTGGGGAATATTAACTGATCTCACTAAAGAATGACTCGAGCTTAATGTTTAACACACAGTTTTGGTAGGGGGTTTCTCCTTGTATGTAGTTACATCCTGCCTTGCGTTTTCTGGAGGCCCTCACCTTACTCTGACCACACCCATGGTCCCTGTCTCAGTAGGACAGGCTAAATATGACAAAAAATAAAAAGAACAACTTCCTTGGTGAAAACGACCTTTTCTATACCCCAAATTGGTGGAAAATGCCTAATCCTATCAGCACCATATTTAGTGAAATTGGGAGGTATGGAAGAAAGTAAGCTTCCCCAGCCTCCAAAACAAAAACAAGCCCAGCAAATGAAAAAAGAATTTTGAAAACCACTCAGTGACACAGAAATTTACATTTTAACAGAAGCTGGGATAACTTTGATTCACAACTGCCCTTAGCTGTGAATGTAACAAAAAACTTGTTTATAAAGCAGCAGCTACAGTCAAATAACAGAACGCATACAGTATCGAGCAACATATTCAAAGCTGTTACTGTCACTCCGCGGATACATCACATTGCTGGAATTCAGAACCCATGAAAACATTTCTTTAAGAGGCTAATAAAACTGTTACTGATGTAGAAACTCTGGCACTGAAAGCGTGAATAACCCAAGGTAACGATGTCGTCACCGAGGGACGACCAGAATAGAACCCAAATCCCTTGGGCCCAAAGCTTGTGTTTTCCACAAATTGTGCTCCTCTCTACTCATCGGAGAACACCCAGTGCAAAGGGTTGGAGAAGAGAGCGGACACAAATGATCCAAGTCAGCCAGGTGGAGACTGCGCCGAGATCCTCCGGCATCACGCTCCGGCGCTCTCCTTTTGTTTTGGCTGGAGAAGATGAAAGCCGCAGCAGCCACAAAGCCCTTGGAGCAGGAACTGGAACTAGGTACGCCCTTTGTGGTCACTCTCTCTTCCTCATTTGAGGCCTTCCTTCTTCACCTCTCGCTTCCGGCCAGCCCTAACGCTCTCCCCCCTCTCCGCGTCTAGCCCCTTCCTTCAGCTCCGCCCTGCACCTCACTGGCGCCGGTCCGAGTGAGAGGCGGCCGTGCTGCACGCGCCCTCCACCTGGCGCGGCGGCCGGTCCTTAGGGGTTCGGGGGGTTCCTAGAGCCATCAGCGTTTTCTTTAGAAAGTAAGTGCTAGTCAAGCATTATAGATGTGTTTCAACTGTTAGAAACTTCAGAGCTGGGACCGGGCGCATGCAACAACTCGGCTCTGCGTGGGTCTAAGTAGCTCGTCACGACAAGGCGAAATTTAGACAGTAAGCAGAGGGCCTTACTCTCTAGCTGGGAGCTCCACACAGCTCCACCATCCCCCGGGCAACCTCCCAGCGGAGGCCGCCTTCCGTAGCGCGCGTTGTTTACCCTGCCGGGACCGGGGGGAGGAGACAGCGGCTCACGCACTCTGGAGGATTCCAAACCGTTACTCCGCCCGCCGGGGTTGGGTGGGGGGCCAGCTCAACCGCCGAGCCTGCGCAGTGGGCCTAGCTGGCTCCAGGGCGCAGGCGCACTACAAGTTCCAGAAGGCAACCCCCGCGCGGGGGCGGGAAGCCGCCTCACCTGCCGTGAGCTTATTCCGCCGGTTACTACCGCTCTACCCCTACCCCGTTCCAGTCGGTCTCCCTTCCACAGTTAAAGGCTACTTCCTCTTGAAGCAAGTGAGGAAAAGCCTTAGCAGCCTCGACAAGGAAGCTCTTCACGTATTCGCTCTTTCTCCCTCTGCGCAAACTATGCCTGACTCCCTCACCGGAGTTGGCCAGTGGACGCGACTGAAGAAAGCCTTCGGAGGCCAAAACAGGGGCGACCTGCTCGCACATCCGCCTCCCGGGCCCCGGAAGGTAGCGCGCACGCGCTCCCTGCGACTCCGGCGCGGTTGACTTCCGCTCCCACTGTGCCCTGCGAGCCGAATCATGGATCACACTGGTAAGGAGGCGGAGGCAGTGGGGGTCTCGGTCCCATGCCCCCTTGGTCGGCCTGGGACTGGCTGCCCAGCGGGCATAGAGGGGTTACGCTCACCCCACAGCACTGGGATGTGGCGGTGAGAAAGAAATCTCACAGACCTCCTCCCCGTGCCCGGCAAGGGCCTGCTGCCTCCCGGCCTACCATCCGGTGAGGTACCTACAGCCTGGATGCCGGCAACAGCCGCTGCCTCTCTGACTTTGCTAAGCTCCGAGCCGGGCGGCGCGAGCCGCGTGGGGAGGAGAGCGCGCCGGCTGTTTGTTTCTTCCTCCCGGGTGCTCTGCCCTACGTTGTGGGGACTGGCGGGTAGATTCCAATCTCGGAGTCGGGGAAGCTTCATTACACTGGGAGTCGCTGCGGGACAGAGGGTTGGAGACTTAGTGCTGTCTCAGTCGGCTTTGGGCGGGTGCTGCGGTGGTCACTGCTTCTCGCTATTGTCTCTCTGGTCCTTCATGGACTAGAGGTGGGTGAAAGAAGTTGGATATGGTTTTCGGAGTCATACCCTGAACAGGATTACACCTGAGCCCAAAGCATGCCGCGTGCTTCGGCTGTGGTCCTTACTCATCATTTGGGGACATTTACAAAGAAGAGTTTAAAGTCAAGTATTCTCATCCCTTTCACCAAGTAAGAATGGCCTCACTTTTTGTTATGGTGTTGTTTTGGTTTTTGCTCCCTTGTGGTTTGGATATTGGATGGATGCACCTAGAGTTAGTGCTCAGATCAACCATGTCACAAGTAGGGAAAAAAGGTTTTGTATGAAGTACTGGTTAAGATGTCCTCAATCATCAAATGTCTGCTTAATTATATGTTTATATATATGTAGTGACTGCTAGTCAACATATTATATATAATATATGCCAAATATCTGTAGGCTTGGAGATGGAGTGATGGCATGGTAAACAAGACAGAGTCCCTGGGTCCTCACGGAGATTACATTTTATTGGGGAAGACAAAATAAGCAAGTTTTTTAATAAGCCTAAATGTTTACAGATTATGGTGAGTGCTTTGAAGAAAATAAGCGGGTGCTGTGGGAAAGACTAATAGGAGGAGGCAGTCTCAGAGAGAGTGAGTGGTCAGGGAAGGTCTTTCTGGAAAGGTAACATTTACAAGCTGAGATCTGATGGATGAGAAGAATCCAGCCATGGACTGAATCAGAAGGAAGGCATTTGCAGCAAGTACAAAGACCCTGAGATAAGAAACTTAGAGAAGACCAGTCGGCTGCAGCTCAGTTAACAGGGAGAGAGCTCTAAGATGAGATTGGAAAGGAAGACAAAGTCAGGTCACGCAAGACTTTGAAGACCATCATAAAGATTTGGATTTTATTTTAGGTGCAGTATAAAACCATTAAACAGAACTAGAGAAGGAATATAATCTCTTTTTAAAATATTATAGGTTGTCCTGTGGCAAATGGTGTAAGAGAGGCGTCAAGAAAAATAGGAAATAGACAATTTAGGAGGTGATTGTGGTAGACCAGAAAAGAGGCTTTGGCATAGTAAAGGTGAGTTGGGTTAGTGAAAAGGGGAGTGGGCAGATTGAATAAATATGATGATAGCATTCAAATACGTGGTGATGGATTGATTCGCAGGTATGAGAGAGAAAGGAGAGATGTCTAGGTTTCTGGTTTGAGCGGCTACGTAGTGTGCATTACTGAGTTGGGGAAAACTTGGGGGAGAAAAACATTTGTTTAAGGGGCAGAGGTGAGACTTGGGAATCTGAGCGTAAGATTTTGGATTGCTAAGTATAAGATGTGTATTGAGACATACAGGTGGAGATCAGAGGAAAGATCTGGGCTGAAAAATA